CGGCGTCGCCGGGTTCAGCAGCGACGGCGTCATCATGCCGAGCCGCGCCGCCAGGGCGTCGTCCCCTCCGCCAGCGAACATTGACCTTTTAGCCACGGCGACGTCGTTTGGATCACAGGATGTGTGTTTGGGGTTAGGGTTTTGGAAATGCGAAAGCGCAAAATGGAAGTGTGAAAACTGAAGCTGGTGGAAGTCTGAGAAAAATCATATCTTTTTGTTTTTCCTCTCCTTTTCCGGTTTCCCGAGTTTGCTTTGTGGACAAGACAGGAATCGTTGACTATTACCACCTACGTGTGAAAATCTGCATCCTCAAAACGGTAACGTGGTTTCCTGGATTTACGTTTCTGCCCCTTCATTAATTAAAGCCGTTAGCCTTACCCTCTTCTTCCTTGTCGGTGTAAAAGTTACGCCGTTTTGGATGCACCCAACTTTGAATAAATCAAATTAAAAATCAAATTAAAATAACGCTTTATCTCCTTTATTTAATTATTATACATTTTATCTTCGCTGATATATATTGTCACAGTGTATCCTCGTATTTAAGAAGTCGAAACTTTGTAAATGATGTCATGTTTGAATTTTATTTTATTTTTCATCTTGCTCCTCTTTTTGGTAGAACATGCACTAAGGCCGGCAATCCTTGATTTCCAGATCTTTGTTCGTAGGATGTTCTGAATCTTCAACTAGAAAGTGAAGTGATTGTTAGGGTATTAAAGTTCTAAACCCGGTTTCTTTTATCCGTCACAGTGGGATGATGACATTAACGTGTTTTGAACAAGTCTATAAATAGGAAATAGATCCACTAACTATATGCAAGGAAAATTAGGGTAACTTAACATATTTAAACCGTTGAATTTGTAATAATAGATTAGATTGTGACACGAGTACATTTAAATCAAAATATATTTTGTATACGTATCACAATCTGATTTATTTTTATAAATCTAACGGTTGAAATGAATTAAGTTACCATAACTTTTATATATCAAGGTCAGAGGATCCGGATCCAAATAAATAACAATTTTACTTGAAGTCACATTATGTCTTAGCATAACATCTACTTAGGAATCATTATTTTAGAGAAGTTGTTAACCGAACACCGTGTACAAAATTGATGTTAGTATTAGTTTTTGTGTAACTAAATCACGTAATATATATATATAGAGAGTTTATGGAGTCTATTTAAATAAGTTTATAAATGTTTTTTAAAAAAAATTATTAAAAAATACTATTTACTTTTTAGAGTAAAACTCTTAAAAGTATTTATAGTCTATATCTAAATATGTATTTAGCAATCAATTGTTTAAGTAGGATAACAATTTTGTCTCACATACTTATCTTTTTAATAACTATAAATAAGGTTTTACATTACATATAATATCATGTTTTCTAAATTTAAGTTATAAAAGGTATTGTTTAAGTGTGTAAGAGTTGACTTGGGAGGACTGAGATATATAAGACTATCGTAACCGGGATCACGACGGGATGACGCTAACATTTTCATCATGAATGTGAGCAATCAATCATTCATTGTGATTTAAAGCCAAGCAATGTTCTACTTGATGATGACATGATTGCTCATGTGAGTGATTTTGGCATAGCAAGACTTCTCTCAACAATCAATGGTTCTACTTTTAAGCAAACAAGTACAATTGGAGTAAAGGGGACCGTTGGTTATGCTCCTCCGGGTATGTTCTAAACTCTTGAATAAGTGTTTCTTTGAATTTATCTTTCTTTTATTGAAGCTTGATATTTACTAATTGCAAAGTATCACTATAACACAAATAATTTTTAGCAACATTTGAAAAATATTACTTAATTATGTATAAATGTTACTAATTTGTTTTAGTAACATAAAAGCTTTTAATAACATTTTTATATAATTAGACAACATTTTTCAAATGTTATCAAAGTAATATTTTTGTAACATTTTAATGATGTTGCCAATATTTTGTTAATTTTATAAAATGATAATTAATTTTAATTTAGATATAGTTTTATGTCTCTTAAACTCCTAAGAATTCTAGGAGAGAAGGTTAAAGACATTCTTAATTATTTTTTAGGAGAACACATTCTTAATTCTTAATTAGTTACCACTAATTATATATAAAATATCAAATTTTATTTATCTAAAGTATAACTATATGGTTATATATACTCTTTATGAGTCATTAATCTATTTAATGTGAGACTTTAATTATGAGTAACAATTAGATATAAGATAAATATTTTTTTTTACTCGATGTGGAACTTTGATTTTAGAAGCAATTATAGTAACATTTTTCAAAAAAATGTTGCAAAATAACTTATGTGAAATTTTTTTATTCGATATGGGATTTTGATTTTGAAAACAATTAGAAATAATAATATTGAAATAAAAAAAATGTTACTCTATCTATAATGACATTTTTTTAAAGAGTGTTGCAAAATAACCTATTTATTTAATATATAATAATATTTTAATAAATATAAATAAGAAAATATTGCTAAAGAATTAAAATATAGTAGTGTATTGACAATTTTTTTATATATATTTCAGAGTATGGAATGGGTTCTGCAGTGTCTGTGAATGGTGACTTGTACAGTTTCGGAATTCTTGTGTT